CAACCTGACCAAATAGGGAACTATGATAACAAGACACTAAATATGTATCAGACAGCCACTTTTAATTGTTTGCCAACAGTCACCTCACAAATCAGCAGATTCCAGGTTCTGACATTACAAAACTCTTTAATTAATTTGTGGAATTCAGCAAGAGTTTCTTCTCTTTTCCACTTCACTCCCTTAAAACCAACAGCATTTAAAAGAAGGGTTATCTTTTCCTCAATGAGGAAGTGCCCCTTCCTAATTCAGAAAGCAGAAGTTCTCAACAGTTTTCTAAATTTGCCATCACTCTCCTTTTGTATGAAGGGAGGAGCACCTACAGTAGTTAAATACACTCCTTAAAATGACTAAACAACATTTTCAAGCAAACATCACTTTAAGATGGGACTTTAAACCCACAGTTACATTAAGAAATAAGGGGACTAAAGCATGGGAATATTAACCTGAAATAATTATGAAATAACGACAGTTTAAAAAAAAACCATTATGGATAATTGCAAAAATTATGTTCTTGCCTTTTATACACAGTTATTTCCTGTAAAGAAAGTAACATTTTTATAAGAGTAAGACAGTCTGTTTTTAGGTCTCACTTAAATATATTTAATATATAATTGTATCCATATATAGTACAGTAAAATAAAGGCAGTCATTCAGATGATGTTTGTTGTAAGCATTTGAATTGTGTTGATTTTGTGGAGTTACAGTTTATCGTAAATCGTTGTCTGACAGTGAAAGTCAAGTGGCAGTTTAGAGAAACAACCACTCTTGCCTAAAAATGTGGTGAGGCTTGGCAAGCCATACTAAAACCAAAAGCACACATGGACATCCATGAAGCTGACACCAAGACAGCCTTTACCCCAAGTAAACCATTACTAATTTGGACAATCTGGTTTGCATTTTAAATTTCACAAAATTTCAAAACCAATGTTCTGTATCCTACATAAGCAGTTTTCACCCTTTGTATGTTATTGCATTCATTTACACAGACACATACCCTGTGTGAAACATTCCAAACATCCCACTGTGCTAAGAATCGCTTTTAGAAAACTGAATACTTTATGTCAACGTTTAGAAAATGACATCGTTAGTTAATTGAAAGAGGGACAGAAGACTGTAATCATAATTCCTTTTTTGTAATTAAGCACCTTTAAATCCAGAGGACTCTCAAGTAGTTTACATACAGTATATGGGAGGGAACCGACTGGCAGCACCAACCGATTTTGCATCAGCAGGTCCACTAGACAGAAGATAAGATAGAGAAGTGAGAAATTGCTTCACCATTTGAATTAAGGGGGAACTTTAGGAAGGTCATATTGAGCAAGCCCAGAAGCACGATTCAGTAAGAGCACTTCAATATTTTTAGAAAATGAATATGTATAAAATGTGCCATGATTTATATAAATAGAACTATGCTCTCAAACGTAGCAGGACGTTAACTGATAATAATAAACACAATAACCAAGAAAAATAGCAAAAGTACATGTCTGTAATTTAGATCCTTATCTTCTGTCTGCAATTACACATGAGATAAGTGAACTATTTTAAAAAGCAAAAAAGAAAAAAATACCCGATTATTAAAAATATAGTGGTATTGCAAAGTTAGATGTTCAATTTCTTTTGGTAAAAGTGCAAAGTTTCAAAAGTCATTTTATTTTGGTATTAATGAAGTACATTCACTTCTTTCTGCAAACTGTTATTGGCCATAGCAGGTTTCTGGTTATTGTTTCAATGAGAGTCTAGTGTAAAGTGTGATTTTCCAATTCCATCAAAAGACTCTACCCATTTTGTTATAATGAAGCTTCAGCATAGATTCAATGAATAACTAAACAGTCATTAAAAGTACAAGATATAGAAGTGTATATTTTTGCCAAAGTTAGAGACTAATTTCATTAGCCTTTTTGAAGCATTCAGAGTTTTATGATAATGTATATACAGAGTATTGAATAATCTTTATTTTATCACTATATACAGGTATGTATGTATGTTTTATGAAAATAACTGAATTTGTAATATTGATTAAATTTTTGTGACATCATCATGATTAATTGATCATTCATACCTGTCCATATTACACTTAAGTGACTCTGTGGAATAAACATTTAATTGTTAGTGAGAGTTGATTTGACATGCTGTAGATTAAGATATAACCTTTTAAATGTCAAGACACAGGAAAGAATCAACATACAGTACCTCTTGATCATCACATTATTATTTAGTACCTATGCCATGTTCATAAATGACAGTGTAACAGCACGAAAAATAAGTGATAGCATCGATAGATACTTTATTGATCCCGTGAGGGAAATTGCAGTGCAACAGCAGCTTAACATAGACAACACAGCAACAGTGTAACGAATGATACAATAATAATAATACAATACATACAATACAATCAGTACAGTGAGAAGTGCACTAAGAAGAGTAACTCACAGTCCAGAACACACAAAGAACAAACCAGAACAGAATAGTACACAAAAAAGTTGTATTGCACAATATAAATATAAATGTATTGCACAAAAACGGTTGTAAACGGGTAAAAGAACAACAGATGCATCAGTTTACTGTTCAGTCCAGAAACAGGTCACTGTCAATGTTGCCTCTGTCCAGACACGTACAGTCTTATGGCAGAAGGCAAGAATGACCTCCTGTAGTGCTCCCTGTCGCACCATGGATGGATCAGTCTATTGCTGAATGTGCTCTTCATTTCTACAAGCATGTCATAGAGGGGACGGGAGACGTTGTCCATGATGGCCTCTAGTTTGGACACCATTCTCCACTCAGCCACTACCTCCAGGGGGTCCAGGCCAGACCCAATGACAGAGCTTGCTCTTCTGATGAGCTTGTTCAGCCTGTTAGAATCCACTGCTCTAATCCCAGAGCCCCAGCATACCACCGCATAGAAAATGGCGCTCGCCACCGCCGACTGATAGAACATATGTAGCATCTTACTACACACATTGAAGGACCTGAGACTCCTCAAGAAATAAAGTCGGCTCTGACCCTTCTTGTAAATGGCTTCGATGTTCTTAGACCATTCCAGTCTATCGTCGATGTGCACTCCCAGGTACTTGTACGAGTCCACCATCTCCACACCACTCCCATGGATGTAGACAGGAGTAGGTTTGACCCTTTTCCTCCTGGAATCTACCACCAGGTCCTTCGTCTTTGTTACATTCAATTGCAGGTGGTTCTCCCCACACCCTCCACAAAGTTGCTGACCAGTCCCCTGTACTCCTCCTCCCGCTCACCCTTGATACATCCCACAATTGCAGTAATCTGAGAACTTCTGCAGATGGCACGGCTTGAGTTGAATTTAAAGTCCGAAGTGTAGAGGGTGAAGAGGAACGGAGAAAGAACTGCCCCCTGAGGAGCCTGTGTTACTTATTACCTGTTCAGACACACAGTTCTGAAGTCTTACAGACTGTGGTCTGCCTGTCAGATTTTCAGTAATCCATGAAATCATGGAGGCACTGACTTGCATCTCCGCCAGCTTCCTCCTTAGAAGTAAGGGCTGGATAGTATTGAAGGCACTGGAGAAGTCGAAAAACATAATCCTCACAGTGTTGCCAGCCTTGTCCAGGTGTGAGTAGGCCCTTTGTAGCATGTAGATGATTGTATCCTCCACACCAACACTGGGCTGGTAGGCGAACTGTAGGGTGTCCAGTGATGAACTAACCAGGGGTCTCAGGGGGGATAAGACCAGCGTCTTCAGTGTCTTCATGACGTTAGAAGTCAGCACAACTGGTCTGTAGATATTGAGGACAGAGGGGCGCCCCTTCTTTGGTACCGGGACCAGGCATGATGTCTTCCAGAGCACAGGGACTCTCTCCAAGTGCAGGCTCAAGTTGAACAGTCACTGGAGCACTCCGCTCAGCTCATCAGCACAAGCCCTCAGATCTCTGGGGCAGACATTATCTGGTCTTGTGGCCTTACGCTGGTGCAGCCTCTTCAGCTCCTTCTTCACCTGGTCAGCCGTGATGGTCAGCCTGGCCTGGGGGATGGTGCTCATAGCGCTGTCAGTGCTGCAGGTGTTAATGGCGGAGGTGTTGGAGAGTGGCAGCTGTAGGGGATGGGGAAGTGAGTAGCTGTTGGGGGTTGTAGCTGTAGGCGGCCACGATTGTGGAGGGACGGAGGAGGTGTTGGCCAGTCGCAGCTGTGAAGGTTTAGGGAGTGTGTGGCTTGGGAGGATGGGTGTTGAGTCACAGAGGGCCCTGAATCAAACCTGTTAAAGAACTGGTTCAACTCGTTGGCCATCTCCAGGTTCCCCTCTGTTGCACCCCCAGCCTGTTTGAAGCCAGTGATCTCTCTCATGCTGCTCCATATGTCCCTCACCCTATTCCTTTGCAGCTTGTCCTCTACCTTGATCCTGTAGGCATCCTTGCTCTATCTTAACTTCTGCTTTAGTTCCCTCTGTAAACGCTTGACCTCTTCCTTATCCCCCCTCCTAAAGTCTCTCTTCTTTTCATTTAGAAGAGACTTAAGATCGCTGGTGATCCAGGGCTTGTTATTGGAAACGCAGTGTACGTCTTTGGTGGGGATGGTGTTGTCAATGTGGAAGTTAATGTAGTCAATGACACAGTCCACCATGCTGTTTATGTCCTCCCCATGTGGTTCGCACAGCACATCCCAGTCGGTAGCCTCCAAAGCACCACGTAGATCCTCCATAGCCTCCTGAAGACAAGGTTGTGATCTGATCTGCCAAGGGGGGGCTTTGGAATTATATGCATCCTTAGCATTAGCATATAAGTCCAGTGTTTTGTTTTCTCTGGCACTTAACAAACTGGTGGAAAGTAGGCAAAGTTGTGGAAATAGAGACGTGGTTGAAGTCCCCTGAAATAGCCATAAAAGCGCTTGGGTGCTTTGTAGCCTGGCTGTGACTGTGTGTATGACGTTACATGCTGCCTCTGCGTTTACAGAAGGCGCATGTAAACTCCCGCGGCAGACAGTATGGACGCAGTCCTATGGCAAACAGTTCAGTGTCCGGGTTACAGAAGCGCTCCTTAACATGAATATGATCAGGATTACACCATCTGTTTTTGACAAGCACCGTGAGCCCCCCTCCTCTCCTCTTACAGCTCTCGGTGGTGTTTCTGTCTGCCCGCAATGTCTGAAAGCCACTGATGATAACATTCGACTCCGGAATAAGTTCCTGCAACCACGTCTCGGTGAAACACATGATACTGCATTCTCTATACTCCCTCTGACTCCCCACCATTGCTCCCAGTTCGCCCATCTTGTTTACTAAGGACCTCACATTCCCCATAATGATCGAAGGAAGATAGGGTTTAAAACTCCTCTTCGCCTTTCGCGTCGCACCAGCCCTAAAGCCTCGGCTTTTCCTCCTCAGCTCCTCCGGAACTGATGGCTTCTCTCCAGTGAGTAGAGCCAGACGCGCTAGGCGATCAGCTGGTCACGCGTGTTCACTTTGATGTTCAGTATATTTCAATAACAATTTAATTTAAGTACCATTTTCTAAGTAAAAAGAGCCTCAATCGACAATACTATCAAAATCATTTCAGATACTGTAATGCTCTGAGATTTGTTTCTGCCTATAGCAAATTTAAATCATTG